AAAATTCTGAAGAAGTTTCGACAAAAGATGTAGGTAAAGCAAAAACTGAGGGGGGAGGTCGTATTTTCAAAAATTTTCCCCAACGGCGTGACGTGCCCTGACTGGAAGCACCCAGGCTCCACGCAAGTCGCTTCCGGAGTATTCCTAAGTTATGTGCGAATTTCACGCTTGTAGCACCATCAGCAACGCCTTTTAGCCATCGCAGCAGCGTTGATAGGTTGAGTTCCAACTGTATATACCATAAGCAATAATGGACCGATTACACAACACTTCGGAGGCTCAATTGTGCAAAGACAAGTGTCGCCTTTACTACAAGTCGCTCCTGGGCTTGAATCCCGGGTAGACACCCGCGCAGGCAAACCGCCTTCTACCCTCCTGGGACGGTAAATGGTACCAGATTCGTCTGAGAATAATAACACTGACTTGTATTAGTGGCATACATTTCTAATCCCCGACTGATTTTTTTTTTTTGTAAATATCTCAAAAGCGAACCAGCCTGAAGATTAGAGGTATGCACCATCACCATCCACTACTCGACGCCAGCGCTCAGGCAGCTTGTCGATTCCATCCTTCCAGAACGACGAGGGCTGGGATTTGAAGAAGTCGTCGAGTGCCTTTCTGACCCGATCCTTTGTTTCAAACAGCTTCCCGTCCCCCCCCCAGAAAATAGCCTGCAGGTGGCTGAACAGCCAGTACTCAGAAGGAGCGAGGTCAGGGCTGTAGAGGGCTGGGCGAACATCATCCGTACTTCTCCAGCTCGGCCTGGGTCGCCATTTCAGTGTGAGGTCGGGCGTTGTCATGGTGGAAGTAGATTTCCGCATTCGATCCACGAGTACGGTCGACGTGATCTTTCAATTTCCGCAGCTGGGTAACGTATGTGGAAGCGTCAATCGTCTGTCCCTTCTCCAGCAGCTCCCAGTACTCCATGCCTCTTCTGGACCACCAACAGGACAGGAGAACCTTTTTGGGGTGAAGGTCGGCCTTTGGGGTGGCTTCTGGCTGTTCTCCTTTGTCGACCCACTGCCGCTTCCTCACAGGGTTATCGTAGAGGACCCACTTCTCATCTCCAGTGATCATCGAGTTGAGAAAGTGAAGCCTCTTTTGGAAAGTGAGGAGAGAGGTGCAGGTGGTGGCCCACCCTCCTCCAGAGGTCATAAGCCGGTTCATGGCGGACCATATGCAAGCACAGCTTGCTACCTTGCCGAGCTTTCTCTAGTGCACGTACAATGCGCCGACTGATCATTAGCGAGCATTTCCTGGTGGTGAGGTACGGGTCCTCCTCCACGGTGGAACGTAGTACTTCCAAATCCAACTCCATCGGCCGACCCGACCTCGGAGCATCTTCGAGAGAAAAGTCTCCTTTCTTGAATTTGGCGAACCAATTCTTGCATGTCATGTAAGAGATGACGTCCTCACCGTATGTATCGACTAGCCTTGGTATGGGCTTCCTTTGCATTCCAGCCGAAATCGTGAAGCAAAACCAGGCAGTGGCGCAGGTACATTCTGTCACAGTGGTAATTGTGCGACATTGTGGCCTGCAAATGCAAGGTGGGTGAGTGATAGCTAGTGTGATAAAAGAGTATAATGCACACGTCACGCACACGTGATGACGAAATACCAACATCCATGCAAACGAAATACGGAAGGAATCAAATCGGGGTTAGAAACATATGCATCAACCTAATACATCGCCTGGTCCCTGCAAGTCATTGTATAAGTCACATCGCATTCAGTAAACCACTAAATGAAAGTAAAATTGTGCCGAATCCCACAAAGGGACTGAACAACGACGTAGACTTTATCCTTTATCCTTACCCAACACTTTATCCGAAAATTCCTATGTTTCACTGATTTGTGTAGTCGAGGAGAAGGCTTCTGATCCACATGTACCTTGCACACAGTAGACCACTGTATGCTCCGCCCCCGGGTGTCCACGCCCCTCTTTGCCGAAAACATGATTTACATTTACACCACACCCATTATACATTATGATATCTATTTACACCAGTTTTTCACAATTTCTATATATCAACGTACACATTGATGAATGGACTTGTACCTTATTTAAGGGTTCCTCTCACTTTGCTGCCGACAACTCCGCTCATCATTACTAGATCTCTCGATTAAACAATAATAGTATGTTCCACAAAGCGCTCGTCGGGGTCTATACGCCTTCTGACCAGGTCAAACCACGTATGAATAGGCAGGTGGCCTTGGCAAAAGCTTAGCGCGCAGATGCACAAAGGCTAGACGGATCACACCTCTTCCGTACAATCTGATCTGAAAAACTCCGAGTCCGTGAAATTGTGCCCTCGGTGTTTGGGTGATCACTGCAGAATTTCTGCAGTATTCTACCGTACACCGCTCCAGCTAAAGGTGCTCACTCCTAAACGAATCACACTTCTTCCGTACAATCCAGCAGATCTAAACCATTCCAAGCCCGTGAAATTATGCCCTCGGTATTTAGGTGATCGATGTGAGATTGGCATAGGATGAGGCTGAATGAGTACCTTTTCTATACATATCTTGCTTGCCGAGAGATAGGAGGCAGTGTTTCTATCGTTTTGAAGGAAAGAATGATAACAGTGAGGCACAAAAAGCTCGGATGGTCTGGGCGGCAGACGATTTAGGACTTGACTAGAAAACGTGCGCTTGGTAAGTGGTGTGCCACTGGTCTCAACATCGCAGCCGCGTCCACTGTGATAACAAAAGGCAAAAAAATTAGAATTGCCAATGTCTTGAATCAAAAACATCGCTCACTCCAATCAATCTTCAATTGACAGATATGTTTTCAATATCGTTTACATTACTATAATTTATCACGTAATAGAAAACAAAAAAGCCAGATGGACTGAAAAACGACGTGTGGCATGTTCACCTGGGCAAAAATATTTACTGTAAAAAAATAAAAAAGTTCAAGGAACGGCACGGGTTGGGAGGTCTTCAAAGGTGAGGTTGTGCGATTCCGCAGGTGATCATTATTATTGGTATGAATCCCATTTGACAGGTGACCTTGACGCGCAACGACGTTTCATCACAACATACTCGAAATTGGTTTCAGCCACCAGAACGATCAATAAAATTGGGAATCCCAAAACATCGATGAAATGAAAATTTTGAAGTGCTGATTGTTGAAATTAATATTGAGGGCACGATTCTGCGAGTATTTGAGGTCAGCCAAAAGAAACGCCCAGTGTCTTGGTAGGGAACCAGATCAGCAAAGAACCCGAAGACAGAAGCTGTTTCGGATGTGATTCGTTGCTGAAGGCTCCGCCCACTCGTATGAATGTCGCGATACCTTCACAATACAGAAGAGAAGTTAGAAGCGTTGACAAAAAATCGTACTTTACTACAATACCCTTTGATGTGTTTCCGGGAATTTTTGGTGGTGATATCCTGCTCACAACAAGGATTTTTATGTAGATCCTGCTCACAATAAGAAGACCCTTTTAACAGGGAACGTGAAAGCATTTAATGTTGATAAAACCCTTTTAGGTTGCGCCATGAATTTCACACTTATCCAGAACCAGAGGAGCCTTCTGAATGCGATATGAGCTAGACAAGTTACTTGCGGGGCCCAGCCTATGTAGAGGTCAGTGTTCTTATCCTCCCAGACGAATGTGATACCAATTTATCGTCCACGGTGGGTAAGGCTTGGTTGGCCGGGGCAGGAGCCGAGCCAGGATTTGACCGCCGGCGTAAAGTTTTTTTCTTAAGAGCTGCACTAAAGAGCAGTGGAAGTTCAGAATACAATTGATTGAAGTACGTCATAATAAAACAATGTTTATAGAAATAATGCAAGTTTTATAAGCACGTGTCTGGTTTCGTAAAGTGTAAGAAGAGGTGGGGAAAGACGGTGGTGTCCAGTAAACAAGTGCCATGCGATTCTTACACCAAAGCTCAGGTTTTGATTGATATGCGAGTGTAGGAAGAGCATTCAGCCTTGTATCTATGAAAAAGCTGACTTTTAGCAAATGAAACTGGGAGGAAGAAAATTAATGAAAAGATTTGTGGACGAGAAAGGATATTATACACATGAAAGAGAAAATGAAAGCGATTGAATCACTGCAACGTTGTGTCATCAAGTATTGGATTGGCCCATAAGTAATGGCGTTTTTTCAACTGAAAATTTTGTTCCAAAAAGTGAAATGTTTTGCGAGCAAGTTTGATATCATCTGATAGGAAACTTCTCGTACTATAAGAATATCGAAACAGCTTTGGGTGAGGAAATGATTTTTGTAAGTTTTTTAGTCGTTGAAGTTGAAAGTTGAGTCGGCGAAAATTAGTATCTTCGACAAAAATCGCTTAAGCTGCTCCATACATTTGCAATAGGTTGAGCTAGAAGTCCCAGCGAGGGAATCCTCATAGGACGCTTCGGAACTAATTTCAATAC